AGCGATGATGATGCACTCGGGCGGCTATCTCTCTCTCTCTCACACACGCACAAACAGGATCATTCACCGTATCTACTGCGATTCCGCCGAGTCATGCCGCAGCCACGTCACCGCCACATGGAGGGAAGTACATCGTCGATGAATGCATGTGCGTGTGTGAAAGTGTGAGTGTGTGTGAGAGAGGGGCGCGAGGCGGGGGCTCAGTTTCCCCACTGCAAGCTCATCAAACGGGGCGTCGCGGCAGACGATGGGCTGCCCTTGGGTCGCGGGGAGCGCCAGCGGGTGTGCGAGAGAGGGGCGCGAGGCGGGGGCTCAGTTTCCCCACTGCAAGCTCATCAAACGGGGCGTCGCGGCAGACGATGGGCTGCCCTTGGGTCGCGGGGAGCGCCAGCGGGTGTGCGAGAGAGGGGCGCGAGGCGGGGGCTCAGTTTCCCCACTGCAAGCTCATCAAACGGGGCGTCGCGGCAGACGATGGGCTGCCCTTGGGTCGCGGGGAGCGCCAGCGGGTGTGCGAGAGAGGGGCGCGAGGCGGGGGGTCAGTTTCCCCACTGCAAGCTCATCAAACGGGGCGTCGCGGCAGACGATGGGCTGCCCTTGGGTCGCGGGGAGCGCCAGCGGGTGTGCGAGAGAGGGGCGCGAGGCGGGGGCTCAGTTTCCCCACTGCAAGCTCATCAAACGGGGCGTCGCGGCAGACGATGGGCTGCCCTTGGGTCGCGGGGAGCGCCAGCGGGTGTGCGAGAGAGGGGCGCGAGGCGGGGGCTCAGTTTCCCCACTGCAAGCTCATCAAACGGGGCGTCGCGGCAGACGATGGGCTGCCCTTGGGTCGCGGGGAGCGCCAGCGGGTGTGCGAGAGAGGGGCGCGAGGCGGGGGCTCAGTTTCCCCACTGCAAGCTCATCAAACGGGGCGTCGCGGCAGACGATGGGCTGCCCTTGGGTCGCGGGGAGCGCCAGCGGGTGTGCGAGAGAGGGGCGCGAGGCGGGGGCTCAGTTTCCCCACTGCAAGCTCATCAAACGGGGCGTCGCGGCAGACGATGGGCTGCCCTTGGGTCGCGGGGAGCGCCAGCGGGTGTGCGAGAGAGGGGCGCGAGGCGGGGGCTCAGTTTCCCCACTGCAAGCTCATCAAACGGGGCGTCGCGGCAGACGATGGGCTGCCCTTGGGTCGCGGGGAGCGCCAGCGGGTGTGCGAGAGAGGGGCGCGAGGCGGGGGCTCAGTTTCCCCACTGCAAGCTCATCAAACGGGGCGTCGCGGCAGACGATGGGCTGCCCTTGGGTCGCGGGGAGCGCCAGCGGGTGTGCGAGAGAGGGGGGCGAGGCGGGGGCTCAGTTTCCCCACTGCAAGCTCATCAAACGGGGCGTCGCGGCAGACGATGGGCTGCCCTTGGGTCGCGGGGAGCGCCAGCGGGTGTGCGAGAGAGGGGCGCGAGGCGGGGGGTCAGTTTCCCCACTGCAAGCTCATCAAACGGGGCGTCGCGGCAGACGATGGGCTGCCCTTGGGTCGCGGGGAGCGCCAGCGGGTGTGCGAGAGAGGGCGCGAGGCGGGGGCTCAGTTTCCCCACTGCAAGCTCATCAAACGGGGCGTCGCGGCAGACGATGGGCTGCCCTTGGGTCGCGGGGAGCGCCAGCGGGTGTGCGAGAGAGGGGCGCGAGGCGGGGGCTCAGTTTCCCCACTGCAAGCTCATCAAACGGGGCGTCGCGGCAGACGATGGGCTGCCCTTGGGTCGCGGGGAGCGCCAGCGGGTGTGTGAGAGAGAGGGAGAGAGCGGGGCCGCGCGAGTGCATCCTCGTCGCAGAGCGGAGGCCGGAGGGGTCTTCATCCGAAACCGCGCGCTACGTGGCGATAATGGGAGATGACCTGGACTGACCCGGTCCATCTGACCCTCGACGGCGGCACGGCGGCGGCACGGCGGCAGCACTCCGTGGAACGCTGGCGGTCGCGGCCCGGGGTCCGTACCCCGATGCAGCCGACGAGCCAGCCCAGCGGCGCGCACCGCCGACCGGCCGGCGCCGACGACATGAAGGATACACAGGACAAATTTCTCGAGACGGCGGCAGCGCCGTGTCTGCCGTGTCACCGAGTACAGATTTACCCTGCCCACCGGCGCCTGCGCGCGCCGCGTCGCTGCCACGCCGCCACGCCGTCAAGCCGCGGTGCAAGCAGGACATGCAGGATGCATCTCCACGGGGCGGGGCGCTCGCCTCTCTCCGGCTCGTGCTGCGTTTGGGGCGCTGCGGGGGCACCCGCTGGGGCTGGGACCATGCTGGCGCCCGCCGTCCCGCCCTGCCTGCACCGCTCCGGCGTCCTGCCTGAGGCACGGTCGCGGCGTGCTGCGTGCTGTATGGGTGCGCGGTGCGTTTAAATTTAGTGCCCACACATCCTGGCCGCCCCCGGCCTGCCCCCGGCCTGCCCCCGGCCCGCGCGCTAGGTCGCACGGCGGGCTGCCTCTGCGCCGTCGCTCCTCGTCGTGGCCCCCAAGTGCGAGTGCGAGAGAGAGGCCGCGGCCTCCCAACCGCGGCCCCGCGGCCCGTCGTAATGAGAGCGGGCCATTCGGCGCGGCGAGACGAGGAGGCCGACGAGGAGGTCCTCAGACACGGCGTCGGCCACCCCGCCGGGCCTAGCCGCCGCCCCTAGCCGCGGCTATAATTGTCATTTCAGTGTTGCGTGCTCCGTCTTCGAGACGGGGGCGCAAGCCTCGCCGGCAGTTCGGCCGGCTGGAGGCGGGAGGGGACCCGAGGCCGGTTCGCTCCTCGGCCGGTCCGGGACACTGTACCACCGAAAACTGAAATAGACGGTGGGAGATGCCATCATCGCGGCCTTTGGCTGCCGAGTCTCAGAATCAGATCCTTCTTCAACTTTCCCCCGACGTGGTGCCTGGCGCCCCGCGCACTAGGCTCCACGCCTCCCCCGGTCCTTTTTGTTGGCTTTGTGTTGGGCTGCTGCTGCTGACCCGAACCGAGGACCCACAAATAGAGCCATCTTTGAAAAGCGGAAGTTGTTTGCATTGACGTCGCTCGACCCAGTTTACGGTCACCAAGTCACTAGGGGGTGACGTATGATAACAGGAAAAACCCCGTTTAGTCGCAGAGGCGGACTTTGGTGAGAATGTGATGGAAGTCGAGACTGTAGCGCGCTGGCCTGCCTGGTTCCCCATCCCGCCTCGCGACCGCCGCGGCCGGGTTTGAATCGGGCGCTGAAGCAGGCCTGGTCGCTACCAAACAGTTCCCAGACGCGTCACTCGGGTTTCGTGAACGACAAGGAGCTGGAAGGATATTCTGAGACTGAGGATTCACTTTGGATATTCACATCGATTCCTTGCCACCTAAAATAAGCGACAAGCATTTGAATGATTCTACTCATTATGGCTCCCCGGATCATGCATAGGTTGGCAGCATTTTCTGAGAGAGTAAACGACAAGTTTATCACTGAAAATCGTAGCTTGAGATCAAGCGGACACTTTCCGCCGGTTGTGTTTTTAAGGCGCATCGCGTGTGTAGGATTCCCCGCGATTTGGCGCGCGCTAAGCGTCGCTGTGCGCCCCGATGGTGGCAGTGACTTTGGCCTCGGTGTGGTGGCCACTCTGGCGATGTCACCAGCGGGTCGAGACCCGAGTACGCCCGAGCGGCCGAGCAGCGAGGCGAGGCCGAGGTCCGTCGGCCCGCAGCTCGTTCGTGTCCTTTCGGTGCTCATGGCGTCGTGACGACTTGTATCAGTGTCCCCGACGGTTGACTGAAGTAAACGGCAGCGCTTCTTTCCGCTTTTTCGAGGTGATTACCCACTCTGCGCACTCCCCAGGACGTCGGCCGCCCGTTGCACGTCGAGGCAGGGCACGGCATCGCGCGGCAAAGTGTGGCGGCCACTTTGGCGGGGGCGCACATTTCGCTCGCATCGTTTTGTAGGTTATCGGGGGCATGTGTGTACGGGGAAAACGTGGTTGCTTTGAAGCGGGCCCAGTGTTGGGCGCTGCCGCCGTCATCTCAGGGTTGCGGCGGTCCTCGCTCGCGATTTGCACGGCAGGGACCCTGGCGAGGTGCGTCGCCGTGGCTCGGGCACAACATTTGCGAGCCCCGATCAGCTGAGCGCTTGGCGTGCATGCTGGCCCTGGCTGGCTAATCGTCTGCGCTTGGCTCTGCGTCGCAGTCATCACGTGTAGGTTCGCGACTCTCTCTCTCGCGGTCCGCGGGGCCCTTGTTGATATCGGCGTTTTGCCGTGCGTGGGCTTGCCCCCCGGTGGCCTGTCTGCTTTCGGCCTGCTTGGAAAACTGGTGGTGTCCGATCGTAGACAAACAGTTCTTCCACAGCGTTTGAGTCTGACTCGGCGCGCGCCTGCCTTGGTTTGCAGGTTCGAACTCAAATTTTACCAGTATTTCACTCCAACAACTTGCGGCGCCTAAATTTGTGGGGTTGTTCATTCATCATTATGTTTATGCTTGAGTTTACATACCCTCTGTTTGGTAACTGGGTTGTTTTGTTTGGACACAACATTGCACAACTTGAGACAAAGGAAGGGTCATAACAGAGTTGTTTCCTATTGTGATGTAATTGATAACAGCCTTTCAATTTAGCTTTGAACTTGTTGAAATGTTTTATTGCTTTCTATTATCAACTTGGGGCTTGTGACAACTTGTAAGCATTGATTGTGGTGGCACATGCGGTAGCCATTTATATCATCTGCATTTAAAATACATCCGTTGTCAGAGACAAATTAATATAAACCTTTCCTTCATTAATCTCATACTAATCTATTTGGTATAGTTGGTCCTTATTTAACTTAATTTTTTTTTAAAATGTAAATTGCTCAATGTTTGCCCATTTATGATAAGTTAATTGGTTTGCAGAGGTGCAACTTTGGTGGCTCATATTTCCGGTGTATATAAGTAGTGTGGGGTTTGACAGCAGGGAATTTTTTTAACCAAAGCAGTTTGAATGGGTTACCCTTGACGTAGCCTTCTGTACTATCAGCTCTTGGCTGTGGCATTGAGATGCATATGTGGCCTTGAGGGCTGTGAGGTGGTGTGGAGAGGAGGGGGTAAGACATGAGGCTCCTATGTCTTGCCACTGAGGAGAGCCGGGCTCAGTCTACCAGCTGCCATTCTTGTGTGCAGACCAGTTGCGATCCAACTGAGAACTAGGTGGCAGCACCGAACTCTGTCACTGGTTTGGAGGTAGCATTGGTTTATTAGGTTTCCTAGCCAGACTTAACTTTGTCTTACCCAAGGCAGGTTTCGTTTTTGAAGTGTCTTAATTTGTGTCTCATCTGTGCTTTTTTTGCCTTCCCTTGTACAGGATTCTGACACATTGAACTGTCGCCACGCTGCCTGCCTCCTCAGCACTTACCTCAAGCTTCACGTAACTGATTCTTGGACCAAAAATCAAAATGCCAGACACAATGACAAACGGACACATGAACGGACACTCTGATGCGGAAATGCATGAAGATGATGAAATGTTCCTCTTCAGTTCAGAGTCTGTTGGAGAAGGACATCCTGACAAAATGTGTGATCAGATCAGGTAAGTGCAGAATTCCTTTTGTTTGATTCTGTTGGATATTTTTCATGTTGTCCTGTGTCATTTCTTACACTTTTGTTTGGGACAGTGATGCTGTGCTGGACGCCCACCTAAGACAAGATCCTAATGCAAAAGTAGCATGTGAAACAGTCATCAAAACTGGAATGGTGCTTCTGTGTGGTGAAATAAACTCTAGTGCCAATGTTGATTATCAAAAGGTGGCCCGGGACACAATCAAACACATTGGGTAAGTTATTTTTTTGCTTGACAACAGTTATTATATAGTTCCCTAAGCAGCAATAATAATAATACTAATTATAAGTCTGAACCTCTATTCAGGCGTCATTAGCTTTGTGGCTTTTGATGTAATCCAAATGAGGAATATAAAATTATCTTTCTCCTCTTTTAGCTATTTTTTCAAACATATTTAGCTTGGAGAAATTTAGAACAGCTTTGATATCTTCTAATTAGTTATCTTTGTGGACGTAACATTCAGGCATCATTTAATTTTATGGCTTCTGCTTTGATATGAGCGAATTCTTCCTCCTCTTGTAGCTATATTGTGAAACAAATTAAGCTCAGAATAATTCAGAACAGCCAGGGTTAGATTCCTCAAAATAAACATATTTGTCTCATTTAAAAATTGCCAATGTTACTATGCTTATTTTGTATTTTTTGCAGGTATGACGACTCTTCCAAAGGATTTGACTATAAGACTTGCAGTGTGCTAGTTGCCCTTCACCAGCAGTCCGATCAGATTGCTGCTGGAGTTCACTTGAACCGCCGTGAGGAAGACATTGGTGCTGGAGATCAGGGACTCATGTTTGGCTATGCGACTGATGAGACTGAAGAATCAATGCCGCTTACTGTCGTCCTTGCGCACAGGCTTAACCAACGCATCTCTGAACTGCGTAGGAGTGGTGAGTTCTGGTGGGCAAGACCAGACTCCAAAACTCAGGTTGGTTCTGCAATTCATTAGTATTATGAATTTAGTCCTTTTCCACTGACTGTTTAATGGCTCACAAACTATCTGTTCCAGGTTACTTGTGAGTATAAATCCCATGAGGGAGCATGTATTCCCAAGAGAGTTCACACCGTAGTAGTTTCTATTCAACATTCTGAAAAAATAAGTCTGGATGAACTCCGCAGTGAAATTATGACAAAGGTTCGTAATGTTTTATAATCCATATGAGACTTGTATTGTAAGGATTGACCTCAGGAAAAGAGGTCTGTGTTAGAAGTTGTACCACTTGTGTTTGGCAATTGGTAAAATTTTATTGAATCTGTCTCAGGCATTAATTTAGGTTTTACTCGTAACACCTTTTGTCCAAATTATTCTGGCTATAACTTATGAAAGAAATAAAAACTTGCTATTTTAAAAGGTAGCAAGTAAAGTCTGGACCTCTATTCAGGCGTCACTAGCTTTGTGGCTTTTGATGTAATCCAAGTGAGGAATATAAAACCATCTTTCTCCTCCTGTAGCTATATTGTTAAAATATTTAGCTTTGGGGAAATTTAGAACAGCCATGATATCTTTTTATCAGCTATATTTGAGAAAGTCATGTAACTTTTTGTTTTTTGACTAATCCTCATCTGTAGCTCAGAAAATTCTACAACAGCTATAGTAGAGATGTGCGAATCAGGTTTTTTCCCCTCGAATCGAATCGAATCAGGGGGTGGAAACGGCGCTGATTTGGCGGGCCATGGCTGCGGCGATGCGTGCACGGCCGTTGTTTGTTGTTTTTTTGTGGTTCCTAGAAACCCACTTTCTAGCTAAAGTAGACATCTTATGCACAAATCCTGCACGTGTACTTCTAGAGTAATGTTGTCTCTTCGAGAAAATAAGCCCGTTTTGAAGATTTGAAACCCACAGGACGAGTCATGGACATGTTTGTAACTTGTTTTAAATGGCTCATCCGCGTTCGGGCGCGGCGATTCTGGCCTGAAAACGCCGAAAAAAATGTAAACAAGTTACAAAAATGTGAATATCTCATTTTGTAAGTATCAATTCGGCCCAAGGAGCTTATTTGCTGATCCTTCAACCTTACTCTTTAAGTACGCGTTGAGGTTTTGTCGTTAAGACGACTACTTCAGCTGGAAAGTGGTTTACCAACTAACGCGGTAAAGTGGTGAAAACGGCAAAAACGGCCGTGCACGCATCGCCGCAGCCAAGGCCCGCCAAATCAGCCCCGTTTCCACCCCCTGATCGAATCGAATCATGAAACAAAATCCCCGAATCGAATCGAATCGAATCTGCATCTTTTTTCTCGAATCGAATCGAATTTTTGTCCCTGTTTTTCGAATCGAATCCGAATCTCAAGCAAAAATTTCATGATTTCGTTACGTTGTTGTTGGAGCAATACAGGAAGTGCGTTGTTCAATATCAGTAGTGCAAAACAAATATTAGTGGAACAAAAAATAATTATATTTTATTACAATGTAATATCACAAAAAAATATTAGTATTTGGTAATTTCAGTCTAGAAGCTAGCTGGCGGGTGTGCAGCGCGCGATTCAAACGGGAGAGGAAAAGGACAAGATTCGAAGGCGAATTACCCTCGATTCGAATTTTTCGAATAGTTCGGATTTTAAGCAATTTTCCCGGGAGCGAATCGAATCGAATCAGAGCTGATTCGATTCGATTCGATTCGATTCCGAACCTTTCGCACATCTCTAAGCTATAGTTCTCTAAGCAGCTTTAGTTTCAATAGTAAAAGTCTGAACCTCTATTCAGGCGTCACTAGCTTTGTGGCTTTTGATGTAATCAAATGAGGAATATAAAATTATCTTTCTCCTCTTGAAGCTATGTTGTTTCAAAATTTAGCTTGGGGAAATTTAGAACAGCTTTATCTCCTAATCAGCTGCCATGACTGTGATGGTTTTCACAGGAGCCATGTCGGTTTAAGTTTTCCTTAACCAAACCTTATTTTAATTTTGCCACAGGTGATCAGAGATGTCATCCCTGAAAAGTATCTGGATGAAAAGACAGTTTTCCACGTCAACCCCTGCGGGCTCTTCATCACCGGCGGGCCACAGAGTGATGCTGGTCTTACCGGACGCAAGATCATAGTGGATACTTACGGAGGGTGGGGCGCACACGGGGGAGGCGCCTTCAGTGGCAAGGACTTCACCAAGGTTGACAGATCTGCAGCCTATGCTGCTAGATGGGTAGCCAAATCCCTTGTTAAGGCTGGACTCTGCAGGTAAGTCTTACAGTCGGTAGTGAAATACTTCAGCTCTGAGCGCGACATGCCCCCATCCGCTGTGCGTTGGGCAAACGCATGGCGGAGGAAATTTTGGGCTCAGAGCTAAGGCCTGTTGTGAAATTTTCTGCAAACAGAATTCTTGACAATTGCATTCTTTTCACTTTCCAGACGCTGCCTAGTGCAAGTGTCCTATGCTATTGGAGTGGCGGAGCCCCTATCAATCACCATTTTCGACTATGGAACTAGCCACAAAACCCAGAAAGAATTACTGAATATTGTCAAGAGAAACTTCGACCTCCGACCAGGAATGATCGTCAAGGAGCTCAATCTTAGAAATCCCATTTATCAATCCACTGCCTCTTATGGACATTTCGGCGGTAACACCTTCCCTTGGGAGAAGCCCAAGAAGCTTGTTTAACATCTTCTTAAAATTAAGATTTGGCTATTTTAAATTTTTATGACACCTAATGTCTGATGTGTGGCCTGTAGATGAGACATGTTAAAAGAGCAATAGGGAAGGAAGGCTGTTTTCACGAGTGCTTGTCTAGTATTAGTGAAGTGCAAGAATCTCTTGACTCCTGAGAAGGTATTTGTTATATGAATGAAATATTCTGCATTTTTAACTATGTGACAATTGTGATTGCTCTCTTTTCAATTGGCTGCCTGGTTGTCAATTTTCTCTGGTTCCATATTTGGTAGTTAATCTCATTCCATTTCATTTCATCATCTGCCATTTTATGAATTTTGTGATTTGAAGTTTGTTAAAGCAATGAATTTTATTAGACTGGTGTTTTTTTTATTGTTTTAATCCATGAAAGGTAAACAATTTTGAATGTGTGATTTTATTTTAGAGAGAAAATGGATCAATGAAGTCATTGTCGTGTAGCTTGTGGTTACCAATCTATGTTCTGAGGTGTATGTGCATTGTCCCTTGGTTCTGTAGCAATTATGAATTCTCTTCTGTAATCTGATTCCAATTTGGCTTCTTATGAATTTTAAATGTCAATGCCAAGCATTACATTTCCTAGGCCAAAACGCATGAACTCCCAATGTAATTTGAACTCATTATTACTACTGCACCAAGTTCAATGGAAGGTGGATTACTTCCCTCCAGTTTGTGCCTATATTGTAATTTTTGAATAACTCCATCAGGCAGAATCAATTTGGAGAAAGAATTGTAAGCAAGTCAGATGTAATGAACAACTTTATCTGCTATGCTATGAATAAACTTAGCCTTGAACAGGCAAGGCTATACGTTGAAACATGAATGATATTTTCTTCTTCTTTTCCTAAACATGTGCTTTTGCAAACTCTCACATTTAGTTAACTGAATGACACCCTCTGTTTGGAGGTGCACAACCACTGTTAAGCTGAAAGGAACTGAGGAAGTTCAAGTGATGTATGTCAGCACCCACACAGTACCAAAGAGTTTTTGATCTGTGTGTATGACATTTGAAGCATGAATATGACTTCAAGGAGAAGAACTGAATTTCTTTTGCAGAATAGACACACAGCCATTTGCTTTATTACAAATAACAATTAACAGCGGTAACAGAAAGTACAGTTTGAAAGTAAGAGTGGGGGAAGGGAGAATGGTGCAGACACCAAAATATCTATACATTTCCCAAATACTTATTATGCAAGGAAGGTTATCTAACTACCTACCTACTTTACTGCACATGTATTATAAAAAGCTCAGAAATAAGTTAAAACTGCCTAATTACAAAATTAAAAAAACCACACAAACCCAACTTCTGCTAAGCTTAAAATCACACTGGAAATTTACTTCCATGAACAATTCACAAGGAAAAAGAAAAGGAGTATTGAAAATGAATAAAGTTATGCACTAGGTAAAAAACAAAATTTTTAAAGCTGTGTGTTGACAGCAACATGAGTAAATCTAATTAGGCTCACTCATTTAAAAAACCAAAAACAGGAAGAAAATCCTTCACCCAAATGTAAAGATGCAACCTTATGAAGCTAACAAACAAAACCTTCACATTAGAAATGCACAGAAAATGTGCAATGAGATGACAAAATTAACAAGTGTGAGAGCTAACTTACTTGCAACAAACCTTGTCAAAATTAAGGTGCTGCCATTAATAAAAATTAACAGAAACAACTCTCCAGAACAGATGTTAGAAATAGATAATCTAGTTTCAGTCCAGGGTAATCTTGCACATACATTCGTTAGAAATAAGGAATCACAAATATCAAATATTATGCAAAATGTTTACAGGCATGTCATGAAAAAAATTTAAGGATGATGCAACATGCTTTGATGAATCACTGAACAATGAAGAAGTTTTCATTGCTGAGCACCTCATAGCAAGAAATTATTTAATCATCTTTCTTGTTTGACGAATCCATCAGTTTCTGAAGCTTGGCATTTTCATCAGCTAGCCTGTCATATTCCCGCGACAGACCTTTGTTCTGGGAGGTCATAGCTTCATTATTCTAAACAGATAAAGACAAAACAAAATAAAATTTCACATCAAATCTTAACTTAAACAGAGTTACAATTTTAAACAATGAAGAAGTCTTTACTTTGCTACGGTCTTTGGGCTTACCTTCTTTTCTTTGTTTAGTTGTGACTGCAGTTCTTTGATTTCCTGAGCCTTCTTATTCACTTCATCCTGGAGAGTAGAGACTAAATCTTCCTTTTCCTTCAATTGTTTCTTGACTTGAGCAGAGGCTTCATTGGAGTTGTTCTGAGCTTCCTCTCCCTTGCCAACCATCATATTCCGGGCAGTTGTAGTGGCAGACCGAGCTTGCTTAAGAGCTGCCTCATTTTCTGCCATCAACTGAGCTTGGGTGGAGATGAGGCTGCTCAGGCGTCTGATTACCAAGCTTTGACAGAAAATAGAACACGAATTTCACAACTTATGGGCCAACAAACATCATACTCTAGGTATATATGAAAATAAACAAAGACTCACCATAAGAATAGAGCAAATCCAGAGATATAAAAATTGCGCTGGGCTCTGAAGAGGCGCATGTTGACTTGCATCTCAGCATCCAAATGTTGGTGTGACTCATGCTTTGGCTCAGTGTCTCCTGAGTACTTGCGCATCTCCCGCACAGCATCAAGGAGGAAAAGACACAGCACACCCAACAAGACAGTGAAGTACACGGAAGCTTGATTTGACAGGCTGTTCAAAAACCTTGAACGGAAGATTTTCTGCCATCTAGACGGACGAATGATTGGCAAAAGCATCAATAGTACCACCACTATTTCGGTATAGAGGAAACCGGCGATCAAGGTCCACTGCAAACTCATCTTGGATCTTTGGGTTTTCTTTTAACGGCGATGACACGCAATTCCGGTGTAATTGCTGCAAAGATAAAACACACAATGAGTCATAGGCACACCCGCAGGCTGAAAGACCAAACTCGGATTAGGCCCAAACTTTATGCCGCCCCCCGCACAGGACTGTCCCTCTCCACCCCCACGTACCCATTACTGCCCCTAACCCTAATTTCCCCAGGCCAAGGCATTCCGGCCGACACTTTTATCTCAAGGCCCCCGCGGTGAGGTACCTGAGATCAGATCAGATTTGAGATGAATCCTAGTCTACTTACGGAGTGACGCAACTCTCAGACTGACAGATCCACTCACAACCCTCAAAACAACGACCGAGAAGAAAATGACAACCGCTGCGGCGAGGGCGGAACGAGTTAAATACAAAATAAGAGTTCGGGTCGTAGGTCAGATTACCCACCTTCGAGAGCAAAGTCTTCCTGTCTGTGCCTTTGAACAGATGAACGGGCTCAACTGGTTGAACGAAGCGACGAAACGAACTGCGTGTAAGGTTTGAACCTCTTATTTGCAGTGATAAAGCAGTCTCGAAAGTAAAGGGTTACGTGTCGATAGGTCGATTCAAGCCTTCGATTTTGACAGAACAAAAAAGTAAACACAAGCAGACGAAAGCTGAAGAGACTCAACTCTGGCTGGAGCTGGACTAGAGTCTTGCTCAGGTTTTGTCGCTGAATACCTTATCTCTCGTCCCAGGATGTTGTCCTCTATGGTCAAAGAGCACCAAAGCAAACAAGCGGCACGCAAGGAAAGACAAGGTAATTTATTTACTTTTCCAAGTATGGTTATCTTCTCTGTGGGACTCAGTATTATTTCGCGTTAATACCCTCCCAAACTCCCCTTCTTCCCTTTCCTACGCCAAGATGTACATTTCTCACCTCTTTTCTATGGTTTCAGAGCAAAAGCGCAAAGAAGCGATCACTGCGGCAAACAACTTAACTCAGGCCTTGGTCGATCACCTTAATGTCGGGTAAGCTGATGATAATGTGGCTTGTGGATTTTTATTGTCTAGGCCCGCCACTTACATTAACAGCAAGTTTGATTTTCAGTGTTGCGCAAGCATATTTAAATCAAAAGAGGCTCGATGCGGAAGCAAAACACCTTCATCATAATGCAACTAACTTTGCCAAACAAACTCAGCAGTGGCTCAATTTAGTTGAGAACTTTAATGGTGCGTTGAAAGAAATCGGGGATGCAGAAAACTGGGCAAGAAGCATAGAAAATGACATGAGAACTATTACCGCTGCTCTTGAATATAGTTACAAAGGTGAGCTGCTGAATGAATGAAAGTATATGTGTGTGCCCCTCTGCCCACACATAAACCTCTTGGTTTTAATTACTTTTTGTTTGTTTCTTTTAATTTTCAGTGTCACAGGAAGCACCTCCATCATGATCAGAAAATTTTTCATTCATATCTTTATTTTCTAACATTTGTTTTTCCCAGGTTGTTGTATACTTTTGTTGTATAAATAAGACATTGTCTTCAAATATATTTTCAATGTTTATAAAAATAGAGTTTTTTCTTTCACCCGATAAGCATGCACTAAGATAGTCACATAAAGTGAACAAATAAAAAAATATTTATGAACACCAATATGAATTAAAACAATAGGAAGCTTCCAAATAGTGAATTTAGGAGAAGTCAGTCCTTAGAAATGGTATCATAGAGATCTGTTCTCCTCTGAGATAAAATAGGAATCTGCTGTCTCATTTTTTCTACAACAGATAAATCAATGTCAGCATACACAATGTCTTCCTCAAATTGGGCAGCTGAGACAACTTTCCCCCAAGGATCGACAGCCATAGTGTGTCCAAAAGCCACATAGTCGGCAGTCTTATCTTGTGCAGGAGACACTGCAGCAACGTACAGTTCGTTGTCAATGGCACGAGCTTTTGTGAGAAGTTCCCAATGAAGCGGCCCAGTTGTCATATTAAATGCGCCAGGATACACAAGAAGATTACATCCAGACTTTGAGTACAGTCGAGCCATCTCAGCAAATCTCATGTCATAGCATATCCCGAGCCCAACTTTCCACTCTCCAATGTTGAATGTGGTCAAACTCTTCCCTGGCTTCAGTACTTTTGACTCTTGAAAAGTAATGCCCCCAGGAATGTCAATGTCAAACAAGTGTACTTTCCTGAAAACAGATTTTAAGATGAGAAAATACAAGAGGCAGTTACTACTATTCATAAAATTAAATGATTGCTTTACCTGTGTGAACAAATAAGATCTCCCGAAGGGTCCCATGCAGTGCATGTGTTGTACAGTTGACCATTATCATTTTCAGGAATGGAACCACCAATGAGGTAGACTTTATTTTCCTTCGCAGCAGCTGAGAGTGCCTTTGCCGTGTCTCCTTGTGGGATTGACTCGGCATACTTGGGGAAGTGCTTCAGTCCATAGGGAGAGTTAAAACATTCCGGTAGCACCACCAGCGAAGACCCATTTTCAACCGCTCTCTTTATGAGTGACACAGCTCTCTTCACGTTTTCCACTTTGTCATCGCCGACGGCCATCTGGATCAAACCCAGCCTGAGTTTCTTGGCGGCCATTTTCTCCTGACAACCTGGAAAAGTCGTAAGTAGAGTCATCAGTGTAAAGGTATTGGAGCCAACAGACCAGCAACACCTTGTACCCAAAACACACAGGCCTCTAACCTCAAACAGAAATGGACGAAATCTAACGTGACAGCGATACGACAGTACGGCAACACGGACCGGCACCTTCGCGAGCGTGCGCCTAACGCCCCAGCAACGGGTGGAATGTTCCAAACGCCCTCCGCGCGAGTTGAATGAGAGATTAAGGCGGGAGTGGTGCGTTGCAAAGTAACAGACAGGCAGAGGCAGACGACGGCGGGGCAGGCCGGCCCGGTCACAGAAAAGGAGGGGGTAAGCAGAGGGGGGAGGGGGCAGAACGGGCTGGCAACGGCGACGGCGACACTCGGCAGTGCCACGCCCCCCTCCCCGCCCCCTCGCCCCGCCACCCCCGCGCGCGGAGAGTCGCATGGGCAAACGGCAACCCGCCTTGCCCGCCTTTCAGAAAAGAGGCACAGAAGGGGCAGCAGGCAGCTTGAGATCGCAGAGATAAAGTTGAGCGGAAATTGATTGGATTCCCAGCCGCGGCCGCGCGTAGAGCCAAAGAGAGACATTAGCCGGCACCAGCAGAGACTGATTCCGAGAGTCGTCGCTCTGTCTGCCTCGCACTCATGGGGCGTGCCGAATGGGTGCGAGAGAGACAGAGCGACGAAAACGTCCCGGAATCAGTCTGCAGCAGCAGGGTCATTCATTAGCCCGACTCCCCGACGGCCACTAAATACTGCCGGGATGGGATCGGGCTGAACCCGAAGGCCGAAACCCGAGGCGCCCTCCCTCGCCTTCCCTGCGTTCCCCGCGCGGCTCACTAAGATTTAATTTCCGGGGCTTGACGCTTGACAAGCGGTGCGCGGATCAATAGGGCAGCCGAGCGGTACCCGCGGAGGTGAGGTACTCGCCGACTCGCCGCCACTGGTCGATAAGGGACTCGATGCGGCCATGCCGACTGGTGCGATGACGTCATCCAGGGATTCCCCCTACCTCCCCTGTTCGACTGCTGGCTTTATTAGGTCCCGCTTCTCGCCCCGCCCCGTCCCGCCCCGCCCCGAAAACACCCAAAGCGGTGGCGGGTCGTTGACGACGTGATCTGCATCGAGTGCCATCGGGGGCCTCGCCTCGCCTAGCCACGTTTGCACAGCACAAACATACACGGTCTTGGGGGACGTTTTGCATTATCGACGATTGAAATTTTTTTTCACTTTGTCCTTTTTTTTTGGCTTGTCGTGTGCGCGTCGCGTCGACAATTTCCCCCTCTTATTTGCGCCGGCGATGATTGATGACCGACTGGAGACTGGAGAGCGAGCGGTGCGGGCCGCGAAACGCTCCAAGCTGGCGGTTCGTTGACCCCGTGATCGATCGAGTGCCGTGGGGCTGCCTCGCCTATGCCACGTTTGCAGCACAACTCCGGGTGGGGGACGTTTTGCATTAGAGATTGAAATTTAATCCCTTTTTGCCTTTTTTTGGGCCCTTGTCGTTGAGGAAGCGTCGTATTACCGCGTCTTTTTTGCGGGCAATTTGATGCGGCTGGAGATGGAGAGGAGGGTGCGTTCCCTGCGACGCTCCACCCTGGGCGGGGCGGTCGGGGCCGGCAGCCCGCACCGAGGAGTGCCGCCGTGTCTGAACTGCCCGAATGGACTGGAGTGGGGCCAGAGTTTAGGTTAGCGCGCAGCGGCGCGACGAGATTGCTTTGAACGTCCGGCTGAACGAGCCAATCGACCCTGGGGATAGGAAGCAGTGTTTTTTCGCGTCAAGTCTTGATTGACGGCTGTAAATGGAGAGAAGGCGCCTTGCTGGCCGTTCGATGTTTTCGGCTTGGATGACGCGATGGGCTTAGACGGCATAGGGAGGACGCCGTCCGGCGCGCTCGGCGCGCCCGCGAGCGCACGCCGTTGGCGGCCGATTCTGCAGGTTACTACAGGCTCAGGCCGCTCAGGCCCAGGGCTCCAAGCCTTTGCCCGCCCTTGCCTATGCTCATGCGGTACAGTACAGTGGCGTAGCGCGGCGTAGCGCGGCGGAGGGTGTCCTCGTCCTCCGCGAGACAGAGCGAGAAGGAGGGACGGCGCGAGGGAGCGAGAGGGAGCGCGGAAGAAGGGAAATATTGACAGTGAGGGGGTGGCGGCCAGTGGCGGCTCGAAGCTCGAAGGGGTGGCTGCGACTCTGCGACGCTCGGCTCGGCGCCGCTCGGCTCCGGCTCGGCCCCGTTCGGCCGCGTTCGGCCCCGGTTCGCTTCGGCCTGGCGCCGCCGAGGGCGCCTCTGCGTTTCGGGCGGCAGGGCGGCAGCAGCTGAGGGCGGCGCGGTGCGCAGGCGCGGTAGCTGCTTGCGGGCGCCGCTCTCACCCTTCGGCATCTTGCCTCCCCGCGGCCCCGCGCCGACCCTCGCCGCCGCCCCTGCCGCCCTCCGCTCCGGCCGCGGGCCGCAGGCCGCGCCGTCGCATGGGCCCTCCCCTCAGTTCAGGCTGTGCGAGGCTCCGCGCTCCGCCCCGAGGGCCGAGAGGCACGCCGAGGATTTCCAACATGGCGATGAGGATCGTCGCGGTGGCCAAACGCTGGGCCGAGGCCGTGGCCGTGGCGCGCTGACGGGCTGACGAGGACGCCCAGGACGACCGGAGTGCCTTGCGGAGGACGGCGACGCCAGGCCAGCGGCCAGGACAGGCAGTGCGAGCCTCTACGTCGGTGTCGGCGCAGGCGCTGCAGCGTCGCGGCGGTCGCGGGGTGATGTGCCGCGGCACGCCGTCGCGCCGGGCCACGAGGCCGCGATGACCGCCCCCTGGGCACCGCGACGTGCACCACGCCCTGCACCACGTGCCCCAGGGCACGCAGCCAGCACCGCCAGCACCGCCAGCACCGCGCGCGGACGCGGACGCGGAGACGGTGGCGGCGGGGGCCATCGCACCCCTTGAGGCCCCGAAGGGCCCGCGGGCCCCCAAAGGGGTCAGCATGCAGAGCAAGGAGCCCGGCCAGTCGATGGGCCCGGCACTGGGGCCCCCTGGGGGGCTCCAAGGGCAGCAGCCCGCCAACACCGCGGAGCATGTCCAGTACGTGGGGCCGTACCGGCTGGAGCGCACGCTGGGCAAGGGGCAGACCGGTGAGTACGAGTAGTTGGCGAGTACACTAGCACACGAGTACGCGAGTACGCGACAACACCCGGGCCACGACACCGCCAGGCCGCCACGCCGCCAATCGTTGGCACAAGGTCAGACATGGTCACACTTTTGGCATTGCATGTTCGCTGTGGTTTCGGGTTAGGGGTGCCCCCGCCCCGCCCCGCCCCGCCCCTCGCCCCACTTCGGCCGGGCGGGCCACGTGCTCCGCACGCACACGCAGGGCGGCGGCGCGGCCGAGGGCGCCCGAGGGCCGGGCCCCGTCGGGGGTCATTCATAATAGACACCACGCCCCCTTCGGGCCCTTCGCCTAATTGGCCAATCGATGTCCGGAGAAAAGGCAGCGGCAGGGCACGGCGCTGTTGCCAACGCCGAGCTGGAACCCGGGACTGGGTGCTTGTAGCCCTTGCAGCCCGGCAAGGGCTGCCGTGCCTGCCGCGCCTGCCGCCGGCGCCAAGTTTTTGCACCCTCGTTGTCGTGCAGCTCGGGCGGCGGCGCGCAGGTGCAGTGGTGCAGCAGTGGCGAAGCAGGGCGCCGCGCGGCCGCAGTGCAGGGCACGGTCACGCGCCGCGGAGCAGACAGATAGCAATGACCCGCACGGCGGCCTGCACGGCGGCCCGCACACGCACGCGGACACGCGCCGGCATATTCATGAGCGAAACTAATCCGGCATCGGCATGCCGCCCGGCGTGGGCGGGGCGGGGCGGGGCGGGGCGCGGTGGTGGAATGACCCGTAACGCGGATTTACTGCGCGGCCGGCAGACGGATGGGTTTCCAGGGAAGTGTCAGTCAATAATCCCCCTAGCACGGCAAAAATCTCTGAAAACGCTGGGCTTTGCACGTTTGTTCCGCTTTTCGAAAAATCATCGGGGGAGTGGAAACGGTGAGCCATTGCCTTGGAGAAATGAAAACACAGCGGATGATTTACTGCGGCCTCGGGGCGGGAGTTGAACCTCCAGTTACTGATCACCGACAGGTCACGTAACTCGCTGCACCACCGCGACTCCGGCAGGTTTGGTGGGACTATAAAACCGTGGCGGAAAAATGTTCCTGGAGTCGGCCGCGGCTGCTCGGGATTGCGATCGGGATTGCGATTGCAGCGATTGCAGCGATTGCGCCATCTGTCTGGGCGCGGGGGGAACTACAAGTCCACGCTGGGACTGCAGACGAGACTGCAGCGAACTGCCGTTGTCAGCGGAAGAAAAGGAGGAGGAGACGGAGACGTCGCCCAAGTTATTGCTCGACTCCCCGCGGCGCCCCGCGGTGCGCGAGACGCGAGCGGGACGCGAACGGGACGCGCAAGCTGTTACACAAACTTGTCCTGTTGCCGGCGCCCAAATTCCGCGCCACACAAATCAATGGTGTCGTGCGGTGCGGGCGGTGCAGGCGATGCAGGCCGTGCTTCTGCTTTGCCTCACCTCGCCCTCGTTTCGACCCTTGCCGCGAACCGCCGCGAACGCGGGCCGTCGGTTGCACGTTACACCCGCGGCAAAAAAAAAAAAACAAGCAAAAACAACAAGAAAACAATAATGCGGTGCAGACCGCGGGGCGCCGGCCGGGCTCGCGGCTCGCGGCTTGCCTGGGGGCGGGAAATAGCGGCTTCCGTTCTCATTTTCTCATTTCACCTGCTGGCAGTGCTGGCGTCTGATACAGTTCGAAAGAGAAGGTATGAATATGTAAACGACCTGCCACCCCCCGGCTCCTCGCATCCCCGCCGGCCGCGGCGCGCTCCGTAAAAAAAGGGCCGACGCTTTGTCTCCTTCGGGCCTTCGGCAGAGCGGCTCCCTTTTTCTGCGAGCGAAGGGAAGCCCATCGAAACGGGCTGCAATTTATAACGCATTAGGCAGTCACCTGGTTTCGGAGCCGGCCGGGGTGGGGAGTAGTCGCTGCGATACAAAAACAGGGCGTCCAGCACACTGATTCCGAGAGTCGCTTTCGTCGCTCTGTTTTCCTCGCACTCGTGGAGCGTCCCGTATAGGTGCGAGAGAGACAGAGCGACGAATGAGTCTGCTGGGAGTCTGGCCGGCTGCCAACGCCGCGGTGCTGGAGGCCCGGAGCGCGGGTAGATGATGACCGTCCATGCCGTCTGAGTTGCCCGGCGTTGCCGCATCGGAACCAAACCGCGCGATTGACCGAAGCCGTATAGCGCAGACCCTTGCAAGGGGCAAACCCCGGTTTGCGTCGCGACGGGCGGCAACCGCAGGGGTGCCCGCCGAGGGGAGGGTGGGACTTGGTGCGATGCCTCGGGCACTGCACGGCCGGTGTGGGGCGATGTGTACCCCCGCACTGCGAGAAAAGATCACGGTAAATCCTGTACTGATTACTCCAGACTTCACCGTACCTTTTTTAACAGGCAATGCCGTCGTTTTTTACAGGCAATACCGTACTTTTTTTTACAGGAAACGCCGTACTTTTTTTACAGGGAATCCCGTACATTTTCCCCCGGCAATCCCGTACTCTTAATACCTATCAAACACTGCTATAATTTTGTTCAGTCGATTGACCCTCTTTTTCCAAGTTCCTGATGTACGCAACTGCTGAAGTCGGACTCCTGGACCCCTCTTCCGACCACTCGTTGGAAAGGTCTTGACGAGACCTATTGAAAGGTGCAATAAAATTTTTCAGTCGGTCGACCCCCTTTTTTCAAGATCCTGATGTGGACACTTCTTGGAAGCGGCCTTTGATGGGACCAGATCTGGTCTTTCCTACGGCATGGACTGTACGGAAGAACGGTAACTACTGTTAAAAGACTACGGAATATTTTGTAAAACAAGTACGGTAAATACTGTAGACTGTACGGAGGATACTGGTTTTTGAAGTACGGTAAAGTTTGGCAAAAAAATTATCCAGGATTTACCGTCATTTTTTCTCAGAGTGCGCGGTGAATGTACCGGGGTACAACTATCGCGCGATGAATGTACCCCCTCTGGCATCCTGTTGCGGTATGTGTTCTCCAAATGGTACATTCATGGCACGACACCGGCACGGCGCTAGCGCCGCGGAGATACGCAGGTTTACCCCCCGAGAGGATGGTGACGGACCTTTGCTGGGAGAGGAAACCGAAGAGTTTCGAAAGCCGGAGGTTGCAAACCAGGACGGGAACCGTGAAGTGGCCCCAGGGGAGCGAACCAGGAAGAGCCTGCCGTGGTCGTTGGCCTGCTATGTGTGCAAACGACGAGGTTGCGCTCGCGGGTCGCAAGCCTCGCAAGCCACAAGATGGGACTCGAGGGGGTGTAAACCAGTGGGTGGAGACAAGGGGTTGTAAACCCTGGGTGAGAGGGGGGCTACTCTGTTGCGGAAAGTCTTGCGGGAAGATGCATCGATCGAGTGGGGCTGGCCGGGCTGGCCGCACCGGCGTAAGGCCTGGCGCGGGGTCGGGGGACGCCGCGGGGACGCCGGGGGGCACGGCGTGACCAGACCGAGGGGCACCAGACTAGGGGGCAGCGGGCCACGGGGGCCACGAGGCCACGGGGCCGGCCGGGGTAGCTGCAATGGCTCGGCCCGGCGCGGCCCGGCGATGGTGGTAGCTTTGGCGAGGCGCGAGGCTTTGGCCGAACGGACGACCGGACAGTGGCGGCGAGGGGCGGTGAGGGGTGGGATGGGGTCGCGGAGTGCCGACGGACCCACACTGCGGGTAGTAAAATGACCGCACGGTGGGGGCGAGTTCTCACTCCGTGGGGATTCGAACCCACGACCGTGGCTGCCCCGTGGCCATGCCGCGGCGCTGTGGGTGGGTGGGGCGCGGGTGGAAACGGCGCGCCAAATTAACTTAGTCTCAAGTCCGAGCATCGCCCCGAGCGGGTCGCGCTCGCCAAAGATCAACAAAACCGCAGTGTAAAGTTGGTCCCGGGACGTCCCAACCAGATACTGGATCGCTCGCAGAGATTCGGGTTGCGCGAGCGAGGCGAGACTTTGTCGGTCGCCGCAAACCGTTCTTTATTTTTATACCCGGCGAGCAAATCCGTCCGTTCATCCAGGCCGATTCCTCTGCGTCCCGCCAGCTCCGAGCGCCGCGGCCGAAATCGAATCGGGAAACAAAAGCGATCCCTCCCTTATTCCTCGCTTCCTTCTTCCTTGCTGGCCCGCCCGCCACCCGCCCTGATGTCCACGCTCGTAAAAATGGAAAAGTGATGGCTGCGCTGCGGCTGGCGGGGCGGGGCGGCTCCAGAATCGTGGACCTGCTGCGAGGCTAGGCCAAGGCCCGCCAGGCCCGCCGGGCCCGCGGCAAGGGCAGGCTGGGGGAAGCCAAGCCGCTGTGGCTGTGGCGTCGCACGTCGGGCGGGCGGCCGGGCCGGGCGGGCGGGGCAGCCCCGCGAACCCGCGACCGACGTCATCGCGACTTTCGAGCCGAGTCGCTCACAGTCTTCCCGACCTTGCCACAGCGTACAGCGCCACAGCACCACAGCACCACGGCCATAAGGGCGAGGCCCAGCAGGCTGCTTCGGCACTGTTTTCCGCTGTCCCTCTCAGTGCGAAGGACAGAGAACGAAACGCCCCTCGCGGTGGATGCTGCGTAGGGTAGCCGTCGGTGCGACACTGCATGGCCGAGAAATCCTAGCGGCTTTCCCCGTGAGCTGTGAGCCGTCGTCTGGGCAGGAACGAAAAATTCCATCACTGTAGGATGTGCCTGGAAATGGCAGCAATTTCTGTCCCGTGACATTCAGGGTGTGGCGAGGCGAGACTAGCCGGGCGGGCCACTCTCCGTGGGTGGCGCCTCTGGCTGCCTCAGGCTGCCTCAGGCCGCAGCCGCACGGCGAAGCTGAGAAGCAATACGAGCAGCTTTCGGGGGAAACGCACTCCGACTGGCTTATACGCAGCGGGAGGGACAGGGGGAACAGGTAGGAGAGCGGCGCCCGACATTTCGAGGCACACACGCGCGCCCACGCCTCGCCTCGCCTCTTCCTCGTCTGCCGATCTGTCGACGGCTTGCCGGTACTCCCGGGGCGAGCCGGGCCGGGCAGCGTCGGTCTGGTCTCGAGCTTTG